ATAGAGTGGCAAACGTCCATAACAAAAGAACTACAAGTGTTCGAATAAGATTCTTCTGTTAATAGAACAAATAGTTTATACAAAAATCTTCCAAAATATTTTATGAAAGTGTTTTTGAGAGAATTATTTGAGTAGAATAAAGTAGAAACTTTGATCTATATTATGATACAATCAGAATCAATAAAATAGTTTTGATTCCTCGTGAAACTTTCTTCACAAGACAAGTAAGACAGAGTGTATGAATAATTACTTCATATAGAGTATATGTAAATATCATAAGGAAGAAATAGAATGAAAATTTTCCTACATTACTAATACTAATCAAGGCTTTCATCATAGAATGAAAACAAAGTGTTGTCTTAGTAAATTAGCTAGGCAAGATGTATAAGAATAGAACAGAACAACATCATGAAGTCATCAATACTAGCGTATACATGTCAACATATCTTGAGTCTGAAATCTATCTCAACAAATATATTTCATATAATTTATACTTGGACATATTTGTCGATGACAGAAAATAAGAAATTGTTGTTGATATATGAGATTTCATCAGAGAGAAAATATTTCTACTACATACTAAGATAATTTATCTATATATATATATATATATAGAAGGATATAATGTTGGAAACTTGTATTATTTTGATTTAGTATAATCTTTTGTGGACAATTACTTCTACATGAATATGTTTAAAACACAATCAAAGCTTCTGCCTTATTGTGTAATACTATTATTGATATTATCATTTTCAAGTCAAGTGAACAGTCAAGAAATCGATGAATATGGTAAGTTAGAGTATTTATCATTGAAAGGTGGGCCAAAACTTTTGGTACTTTATCAAAAGATTTGTTTATTTCGCTGATTAAATATCTTAAAATGCTCTAAACTAAGCATGCAGTTTCTCATAACTCTAGACATGGTCATGGTAAACATATATATAAATTGAAATTATAGAGAAGAGTATTTTTCCAATGACATAATGATATTTCTATTCTTAATACATCTAGAGTATCTCATCAATACAATAGTAACTACTGTAAAACATTTATATTGTAATATTTTGTTTGAGTGCTTTTTGTTGACTAAGCAATTTTTTTATTCTACCGTTGAATCCTTTTATAATTCGTCAGTAATATTTACCATCATCTTGGTCAAGAATGCCACCGTTTAAATTTACTCTATAAGGTTTTTATATTTTTGAGACATTGTTACTTAGTAAAAGTGATAAAATTGCATAAAAAACTGAAATATCACTTGTGTAAAACAAAGATTTTCAAAAAAGATTTGCAAAGGAATCATAGAAAAATGAATAATGTACATCAGTTATAAATTCATATACAGTTAAACAGAGCTGCAGATATTTAAAGAAATCTACTCTAGGCATCTAATCAATACTTCATTATAATTCTGTACCACATCGGTGTCCTCAATATTTCGTCATTTGATTCTTTCCTTTTTTATGATACTATTTTTTTCAGTGTGATCACTAACATCTTGCCAATAGCCTCTTTTATCAATAGTTTGTAATGATTTGAACGCATTTAGAATATACATCTTGAAACTTATTGACTTTGACTCATGTTTGAATTCTAAATGTTTTATCGAACCATGTCCATTCGTTAGAATAGAATTCTAACATATGTGATAGACTTATTGACTGAAATGACTTAGTCCTACATCTGATAATATTTGGAAAGATTTTTCATGAAGACCATTATCTAAACTCATATCGACAGACACAGCGCAAAAGAGTCGTTTATTTACTATTTGAGGACACAAGGAGTTTGGAAAAATTGTCAGAAGTTGAAATCTTAAGTTAAAACTTGAGAAAAACGCGTTTTACGTAGCGGCGGCGCCAAGGGTGGGCTGACGGAGGCTGAGCCCCCCTAGAAGTCATTTGAGCTCCCCCCCCCAGATTTTTTAAAATTCTCGTAAAAAACTGATAATTTTCTCACAAAAATACAAGGTTTAGGGGGACTGAGTCCTCTCAGAAAAAAATTTGGGAGGGCTTAACCCCCCTAAAGCGAAAATCCTGGCGCCACCTCTAGTTTTACGCTCGCTATAGCCGAAATCGATTAAGAATTCAATGATGCAATAAAATAGATTAAAAATCGAATAATCTAATTAAAGTTACGTCAGCTCAGCTTAGCGTATTAAGAGCTCTGGTTTCGTTCTACAGTTGTTCATCGCCCACATTATGCGAAATGAGGCAGCAAGTTATTGTCTTATGTTGGACTCTGATCATCGTATCGATAGTGATATACTTTGATATCTTCACTAATAAAACATTGGTGTCATTTGTCAAAATGTAATTAATCGAAATCACAATGTTTCTAAGATAAGACGGTGATCATTCAGTAGAGTTCAGCGGTTCCAAAAATTTCCCGGAATCATGGTTCCGAACCGGTTTCCGAAAGTTACCTGGATTCGTTGGAAGCGATTGAAACCGTTGAATTAATAAAAGCATATGAAAACATTTTGAAAATTTTAGGTTGTTTTATTCCTGACATTATCAGAGCTAGATATTTATTGAATAATCATTTGGTTCAAAATATCCAAGAAAAAGTACAACAATAAGGAAAATTTTAACAAAATAGCATATTCAACATACAGGATGGCCCAAAAGTCACTCGCCACCCTTTGATTTCGATAGGCTTTTGACTCCTCCGTGTAATCACATTTTGTTGTTTGATCTTTTGAAAGTATGCGTTCCTGAGCGTGAGGGATTGTTTTCATAATGAAGACATTTGATTCGAAAAGAGTAAACAAAACACTAAATCATTAGATGAAGGAAACAAGACCTACTCCAAATCAAAGGATGACGAATGACTTTGAAATCATCCGGAATACTTATGTATTCCGATTCCAAATAATTTTAAAAGCCGATTTCCCTTTAGTTCTTGGTTTCAAGAAATCATTTTCGGTTAGATTTTGGTTGCATCTTTTTTCGAAACTGCCAAACTTTATCATCCATAGAGACATCATAGCTAGGGAGTTATGAGCTCACATTTTCTTGGGTCTAGGTTTTTTAAACCAACATATAACATCCTCTGTGTACATAAACTTATAAAGCACTAAGGTTGTAACTATTTTTAATTGGTTTCTTAGAGAAAAAAAATCGATACACAATCATTTCTTGTTTGTTCATTCGGATCAATTAACTTCAGCTCTATTCTCATTAGAGTCGAAGCTAAATACAAACCGAACCAGCTGAAACTAAAGATGGGTCCAGGACCAACAAAAAACATCAGGCGCGAGTCCACCTCTAAACAAGCCCGCAGTTCCGTAATCATAGTTCAGCCGATCAACTTCGAGTCCACAATGATTTCTGAACGGTGCGGATATCCTATATGTATCTTTTCGAAAATTGTTGACGCTATGGTATAAAACAACTCCACATTAAGGATAAAAAGGTTCTTCCGAAAACATACAAAAATCGTTCGAGTTCGGCAACAAATCTTAAGAAATTTCACACGAAAACTATAACATATTTTCCATTTAAGACGTACTTAAAACGATCGATGTTCTAATCGAAAACCTGTAATAATGGAAATAAGCTGCGATAGAAGCGAGATATTACACAATAGAACAAAGAAAAAGATAATCTCTTCGCGAGATTCGAACTAAGCGTTTCTGCTTACCTGGCAGATTCAGTAACATTATACCTAAAATGAACATCTCCTATCCATCTTATGAGCGCAGTACATTTGCTACATGACAAACCATTTTGGAATGATTATGAATTTAAAAAACGAGTCTTTCAATGCATCTGCTGAAAGAACCTTTCTCAGCGTGCTCTTCTTATATACTTTATTCTTACTCTTTAAGATACAACTACGGTAGAAGCGACAATCATAACAGCAGCAGAGTCAACAGTTACAACAACAGTAGGCACCAAAGCGAAAGCGATAGATACAACAGTCACAACAACAGCAGGCATTAAAGCGAAAGCGACAGATGCAACGGACACAACAACAGCAGGCACTAGAGCGAAAGCGACAGAGTCAACAGTCACAACAACAGTAGGCATCAAAGCGAAAGCGACAGATGCAACGGACACAACAGAAACTACAGGAACCACAGGAACCACAGGAACCACAGACACAACAG